CCCCCCCCCCCACACACATCTCTCTCTCTCTCACACACTCTCCTGGTCCAGACCGTCCAGCCGGCCAGGGTGGTCCATATAAGCAGGGGTTGTGGTGGGCATCCGAAGTGGTGTTGTGACGCCTGCGACAACTCACTTCACACATACAGACACACACACACATGCAGCTTCATTGAAGCGCCCCCCGGTGAGGAAGGATCTCTCGCACCGTGCCGCCCGTACATAGTGTTCCCAGAACATTACTCTTTTCGAATTCATTTTCGCAAAAGGGATCAACACCCATAGCGCTGCTCTGCAGCATCCTTTCGATGGAGACTTCCGATAATGGAGCCCCCCGGGCCGCCGGAGCGCCTCGCCTCACTACTCCATTTTCCCCCGGGGGATTTTCCTTTGACACTTATTCCGCGCATAACCAACCACCACAATAGCAACGCAAAGGCCAGACCGCAAAAAATATGCATTCGAAACTAACAGATTTTGAAATATATTTCGTATGAATGAGAAATATTACAGATAAGGAATAAAGTGTTTGATAATTGTTGTAATTTTATGGAACAAGTTTAAAAATTTGTTTTTCTTCTATCGTTGGCAAAGTACAAAACACTGCATAGGCCAAGAGAGGATAGAGCGAACGGTTCCCGCCCTCTGAAACACGAGATCAGTGTTGCAAATTTCCTCGTCCTCCTGAGAGCGAGGCTTAATTTTCTCGGTCGATTAGAGCAATGCTTTATATTAAATTATAATTTAAGTTGTAACTTTACGAGAGCACATTTTTTACTCGCTAATGGATTTTAAGTCGATACGTACTGCATGTATATTTAATATTACAAATTGTAATTTTACAACTTGCGTCAAGAAAAAATTTCCTATGAACCTTCCTACTATATTTTTCACAGTGCGCAGGGGTGGATAGTGGCCGGGTAGGGCATGGCGCGAAAGGGGGGACGCGGAAGCACCACAAAGCCCTCCTCGACAAGCCAATCACACGGCCGCGAGCGTAGAGGGGGAGGAGAGCTCCTAGCAGTGCACTGCTGAGAGGGATGATCCGCAGAGAGGGGGGCGTAAACACCAACAGTAATGCGTATAGATTTAAGTCAAAGTGCCTGGCGCGCGCGCGCGCGCTAACGCTCGGCTAACGCCCGGCTAACTCACGTCACGCCATAAGCGATAGTGCGCATCCGGCTGTCTCGTCGTGGTAATGCGTGGGTGGCGGAGGGGGCGGCACGCGCGGAGCAGCGGAGCTCCAGCAGCAGCGGCAGGGTTTTCCTTCCCCCGCGAGTCTCTGCCGCTGCTGCTGCCCGTATCGGCGCGGCAAATCGGAGCAACTCAAAAAACTAATCTGCGGAAGAGATAGTGATGCGCGCTTGAGCTTGAGACGCGCCGCGTGCGCGGGCCGATAAGGCCCCCAGAGATGCATTGCGTCTCGGCGGAATGCTGCACGGGAAAAACAATGTCAATGATTTTATTTTATATTTTTTTGAGGAAAGAGGCAAAGCTTTGAGGAGTTCCCATTTTTCACAAGAAAAAAAAAACAATAAATTTTAAGGAACAAAAATTTGCGAATCTCCCTCATTTTTTTGACAAGATTTTCAAAATCTGAGGATTTTTTCCTAAAATATGGGAGTTTTTCCAAGTTATCCCTGTTTCCTCAGCAAATCAGAGACGTGTGCTCTTTGCGCGAAACCCGGAGCCTACCTAATCGCTCTCTTCTCTCCTGTTGAAAACGCCCTGGCCAAGGAGAGCCTACGGCGCTGGACCAGAGGGGTAATGTGGCGGACCGCGCCCGGAAAATACCAAAAAAATGTCGTACGCTGATGTTGTTGTTCGGATAATGTTCCATCCGCTTATGGCGCAAGCTTTAGTCGCCGCTATCCAAAAGCAAAAGAGCAATTTACTTGTGTGTGAATTTCTGACGATTTTCTTGGTGTTGTCGTCATCCAAAGGGAAATGGACGAGGGAAAAAATGACAAAGTCCATAGTCAAAGCCACGCAAGTGCTTCCCCGTGTCGTGCGATTCGACACAAGCCGCGCGGTGCAGCTCCGCCTCAGTCGTTCGGCCATTTCCGATTTGTAAGGTTTCCGCCGCACGCTCCCGCAGTTTGGACCCTCCCCCCGAAGCAGCTCCCCTTTCCAATTGCCTCCTCGGTGTCGCATACGCCTTTCACCACCGCCTCGGCCCTTCCGGCCGAGTGCGCGAAGTTGCGAGCGAGATAATTAGGGGTGGGGGTGGGGGGGAGAGAAGGATCGAAATCGTCAAGAAGAGCTCCCCCGACGACACGGATCTTCTAGCGTGCGCGCCGACTGCAGGGAAGCCCCGCGGGGACGTCAGTCAGTACACGGGCGACATGAGCCAGCGCCACCCCGCTGCACCGCCAGGAGGGTCTGCGGCAGCGGCGGGCGGCTACTTGTTTTCCACCGGACATGCGGCGATGACGCGCGCGGGGCCAGCCGGAAGTCGGAGGAGGTGGGAGACTTGAACGCCTGGGCTGGGCGAGTGGGCCGCGCCGGGCAGCGTGAGCCGCGCCAGCTGGGCCTGGTGTCCGGGAGCATTTCAACCCCAACAGTAGCAGTGGACCCATTCTCGGAAGACGAGAGGCTGGGAGGCCTTGGCCAAAAATATCACAAACCCGTGCATGTCGCGTGGAACACACTGTAAATGTAGTTGATGAAACTGCAATTAAATTGGTCGAGGATTTTGAAATTAATTATTGAATTGTGGTGTGCGACTCACTTGTTGAATGAATGGAATGAGGCTTACTTGTGTGTCCCGTCATAAATGATTAGGTGGGCAGAGAGTTTCAAAACAATCAATTACTCAAAACGTACTAAAAAACATTAACAGTTTTTTTTAAATTTTGTTTTTATGAAAGAAATCTTCTTTTTACTAAACAAAATTTCGGTATTTCAATATTGATTCGGCTCCAACCTTTATAAAATTACCATTACGTTTCGTATGACTGAGTCTGGCCCTTTGGCGTGGAAAACCGCAGACAGTTGTCTTCGCTCATTGGCAGCACACGCAGTCGAATCCCATACCCATTTGCTCAGCTATCAATCTGACATATACGAACCCCAGTTATTTTTTGTTGTTTCAGCACGAAGCAGTAAAGCGTTCTGCAGTACAGGATAGGACCAAGAGAGGACCGCCGTGCCATTTTTTGCGTCTCCGCCTCGCGCATCGCATCGCATTCATGCATGCATATAGCAGTAGCGCAGTCCAGCCCAGCCACCTGGTGGAGCCGCGTCATTTGCATCGGGGTGAATGAACACTCCGAAAATCCATCACGGCTTCCGAGATGATTTTAGGATGGAAGCAAAAAAAATGATATGACAAACTGCAGTTAGCGCGTTTTTTTTTCTCTCCTGTCTTTCATTTTACGTCTCCCAAAGGGACGACAGAGGATACACGCGATTCTCTCTGTTCGTCAAGGATTCCCGCCCCCGCCCCGCCCCCACCCCGCCCCCGGCGCGCGAACTGCTGCCGTCGGCCCGACATCTGCTGGGGCTCCGCGGGCCCGGCCGCCGCCGCCCGCACGCGCTGCGCGCCCCAGAAGGGTTGCACCTCCGGGAGAGGGAAAAAGGGTGGAAGCGGAGGGCGAAATAAAAAAAAACACATGGAAAACGGCAAACAGGAGCCCGCAACAAGACAGACAAAAAAAAATTGTTGCGAGCACAAGGCGAGCTAGCGCGCGCGCGCAGCGGAGGGCGGATTGCATCGTATTACAGTCAGTTGTCCGTCTCTCTCGCTCTGCTGCACATTATATTCCCGGAAATCACACGTGCCCGGCGGGGCCCGGCCCGGCCCGCAGGAAGGGTTGGCAGCCGGCCCAGGCGGGCCCCAACCATCCGTCCCGTTAGGGTTGCCTCTGGCAGGCGGATCATTTCGCGATTAAAGAAAAAGAGCGACTTTGAGAGGGGCTGTGCGGGTGTGGGCTGGCGGGGCTCACCTTGTCCGTGGCGTCGGGCGCAAAAGAGCCGGTCGGGGAGCAGATGGCGGGCCCGCCGTGTACTACCTCCTGAGCGGCGAAGTGACGACACCTCATCGAAGCAAGCCGCGGCCGGGCACCGCGAGAGACCTAAAGGTGCAGGGAAAATTCAAAGTGAAAATGAGAAAGAAAATCGCGCATCATGAAGATGCTAAGGTGTCGTCCTCTCGGCCAGGCTCGTGTTCACTAACCCTCACCACCACGCGAACCACGACGACTGTTCCCCCTCCCAGAATCTGCGGGCACTCGTTGGTTCCTTCCTGCTTCCGCACTTTTTTGTTGGAGGAAGTGCCGGGCCCCGCCCCGCACCCCGCCCAGCACCCCGAGCTGTAGGCCGGGGGGGACGACGACGACAGTGTAATGACGATCCACTTCCACTTTCTCTCCACAAGAGCGTCCCTATCGGCATCGCAAATCGGGTCGTCCAGAGGCCAAACAGCTGGTGCATGCAGCAGGCCCTCATGATGGCCGAGGCAACGAAGAGCAGTGTAGGTAGGGAAAAGGGTTGCACCACCACTCACTCGCCCCTCGCGACCACTTGCGACCATTCGTGGTTCGACCTCTGTTTGAATTCGCACTTTTTCAATACGACCACTTTCACGGCGTTAGGAGCATTTAAGGTTTAACTATACTTCTGGACATTACCCTGTGGGAAGGAAGCTTATACCTATCCCGTCACCTCAAGGTGAACGAGATTCCCTCCAAAAGATATCCACTCTGATCAGACTCAGGCCGGAAATAAAGGGGTGCAATTTTTTTTCCGCCCCATACGCTTGCCGGATGTTCCCGCTCATATGCTGCGCGGCAAAAAGGGTTTTTCGGCACGTGTCTGATGCAGCAGCAGCAGCCTTTACCTGAAGGGGTTGATGCACACGGGAAGCGCGGGGCGTAAGGTCGGACAGCAGCCGTGCGGCGGGGCGGGGCGGGGCG